ACATTGTTATTTTATGTTTTTGTTTTGATCATTAGTTTGAATAATTATCTATAAGAGATTTTTGCTCATAATTTAAAATATAATATAAAATAAGTTACATAATAAATCAAAAAATCTTCTTTTTTCATGATTACATAAGCTCAAAAGTTGTCATTTCCTCAATTATTATATTGTAATATTTAAGTAAGTATTATTATTGAGTATTGAGTATTTTAGAAAACTGCATTATTACAGGGTTATAAATATTATGTCACCTAAGTACAAACTAATTTATGTCGCTTGAGTGCTTTGTAACAACTAATACATTATCATGTTAATAAAGTTATTAGCACTGAAAAATTTCTATTTATAAAAAAGAGAAAATGAGTCAAGGTCTTTCATGTTATTTTTTAAAATAATTTAAAATTTGTTTTTGTTTATGAAAATTGATTACTTAAAACAAGCTGAAAATATATTTGAGTCGTGTAAACTGTATAATCTGCAAAGAACAAAAATCTTCATAAACCTTCTAGGTAATCTGCCTTAAATTGCAAACGGAACTTCAGTCGACTCTCGATATCTCGAACACTAAGGAGACCGGAAAAAAATTTCGAGATATCGAGAGTTCGAGATATCAAGAAAAAGATTGAAAATTAATAAAATTGCCCGACTTTCATAAAAAAAGTTATTTTTCCGTTATTTTGTTGTAAATGATTTTGTAAAAATCATTACAACAAAATAACAGAAAAATTTTGTATTTTATTGCTGTATTTTGAGCTGTAAAGCAGTTGATGTCTTCTTCAACACAGCATGCCACGAAGAAACAAGATCTTTCATTGCTTAAAGTATAGAAATTTATGGCAGGGATTCGTTGTTATCAACAGCCTTGATACACAAACGCACAATTTTGTGACGATAATGAGCTTCTTGACTTTGTATTACGCCTTGACCCATGGGCTGAAGGACAGATGTGGTGTTAGGGGAAAAAATATTTGTTGCTTAGCCTTTCAATGTGTGGGTGGGCAGAATTATTTAAATAATTAATATTAAATAGTTAATTAATTAATAAAGAGGTTGCCCAAAAGTACTTTTACGCAACCTCTTTGTTAGACATTCCTGTCTTTAGGTCTTTTAATGCCTTGCATTTTTCGTGAGTTTTCGTTTAACGAGCGGCATGTTAATGGGTTTGACAAAAACAATAAATTATTGCAGGAATACTTTTCAGAAATTCGATTCTTAAAAAAAATTGAATTTAAAAATCAAATTTAAAAAATGTTCTTTTCGAAAATTAGAATTTAAAAAAATTAAATGCTATTAAAACATTTCTTGAAAAAAAAATATTGTCGAAAAGTTAGAGATAACGAGAGAAAATTGCCTTGTGGACCGAAAATATAGTTTGAGATATTAAGTTTTGAGATATCGACACAATTTTAGCCTAAACTAGAACGTTATGTCCATGGGACCGCAAAAAAAGTTCGAGATATCAAGTATTCGAGATATCGAGAGTTGACTGTATGTTAAATAAAAATAAAATGTAGTTAAAAAAAAAATGTTTAAAATAATATCAAGTAAAAAGTGAAACACTTTTCTTTTATACTTTTATTCAACTTATAAATATAAACAACTCTCATGAAAAAAACATAATGGCAAATACCGTTATGTTTTTTTAATACGAATTAAACATGGAGCATAACGGTAATTACCCGTTGTAAAACACGAAATCTGGCGTAACTCGGAATATTTTTTGTTGATGATTCACTTTGCTAGGTTTCACATATCATTACATATGTGGTTGCTTAATTTCAATATCAATTAATAATTTATCAAAATTGTTGTTTTTTTTTTAAACATCTTCGCTTCCAACATGGCTGCAAGCAACCACTAATTAGTGTTGGAAATTACTGGAACAGAAAAGCTGAAGATTGTAGAGCAAAATAACGATTGACAGACGACTTAAAAGATTGCAAATTATATGAATCATAAAAGCAAGATAAAGGAAGCGAATTCGAAAGAACTGATGTTCGAGGAAAAAAACTAGAGAAATAAGAGTTTTTTAAAGCACTCAGGAACAGTCACAGAAAAAGTATGAGACTTAATTGAATGACGAGTAACACGAGAATAAATTTTAGCAGATGGCACAAGAGACGCTAGCTCTTTATAGCAGTGCCTATTATCTGTATCTCTTTATAGCAGTGCCTATTATCTGTAGAAAAGAGAATGAGAAGCAACATTATGACAATGTGATAATGGTTGAAGGTTAGCTGCAAGAGCAGGTCCAACTAAGTTTACAATGCGTTTTTGCAATTTGTCTAAAAGAGAAAGGGCATCATTAGAAGATCCGCCCCAGATATGGCAACAGTATTGCATACAAGGCCGGATTTGAGATTTATAGAGATAGAGAATAGAATCCAGAGTAAACAAGTGTTGAGCTTGATAAAGAGATGCAACTTTAGCAGATGGTAATTTTGCAACGGATTTGATATAAGGTTTCCAAGAAAAATCAGAAGTAAGAGTTAATCCTAGAAGATGAAGAGTAGATGACTCATCGAGTACTTAAATATAAACTAAAAAGAGTATAGGGCCAAGGATTAAACCTTGAGAAACCCCTGAGGTTACAGAATAAAAAGAAGAGTGCTGTCCATCAAGGACAACTTTTATACTACGATTGGAAAGGAAGGATTCAATAATCTTAAAGATGTTTCCAGATACACCGTAAGAAGAAAGCTTATGGAGAAGACCAGCATGCCAAACTTTATTAAACGCTTTAGAAATGTGATGGCCTTAACCTCTCCATCTTTATCTAATGCACGATAAAACCTATCGTCATTAATGTTAGCGAATCAGCTGTAGATCGAAATCCATATTGATGATCAGAAAGTAAGTTATTAGATTCAAGATGAGAGATTAAGTGTTTGTTAATTAAAGATTCAAAAACCTTGCTTATGATAGGAAGAAGACTAATGGGACGGTAGTTAGACAAATCAGATCGCTCTTCAGAATTTTTTAAAAATAAGGATAACAGATGCTGCTTAAAACAAGACTCCGATAAACACTTGTTGAATAGTTTTGACTATAGCAAGACTATAACAGGTAGAGTATCAGACAAAACAAGTGCAACCAAATAATGCTAATTTAGTTTCTTTATATAAAAGTGCTGCATTTTTTCAATTTAGAGAAATAACTATGTAACTGTTTAAAGACAACGTTCTTCAAGTTTTATTTATCACAAAGTTCATTATTTGTACACGAAAATTAATAAATTAATCAAAAGTATTAAAAAAAGTTGATTTCCTTTTGGACAAAACAAGTGCAACTCCACAAAATATTGACCAAGCTGTATTTCGCTATTAATATTTCGTGGCGAATCCTTTGTTGTTGATCACAGCCTTGCATCTTTGAGGCATAGATTCAATCAGGTGATCAATGAAACTTTGTGGAATCGCTGCCCAGGCCTTTTGGATTTGTTCAAACAGTTGATCCTTATTACGAACACCTTCACGATTAATTCTGCGGTTGACAATCTCACACAGGTTCTCGATAGGGTTGAGATCCGAAGATTGAGGCGGCCAATCCATCATCAATAGGTGGTTGTCTTGAAGCCACTGTTTGACTACTTTTGCAGTGTGTTTCGGATCGTTGTCTTGCTGAAAAATCCATTTTATTGGCATATTCCATTCAGCATGAGGTAACATAACATCTTTCAGGATATTTTTATACATGAAACGCTCCATTATTCCATTGATTCGATGTATTAGACCTAGACCGTTAGCAGAAAAATACCCCCAGACCACTCCATTGCCTCTACGATGCTTTCCGGTCTTATGGCTGTAACGTAAGTTGAGGCGTTTTTCGGCCGGTCGACGTACACGGCAAATGCCATCGCTTCCAATGATGTTGAACTTCGATTCATCACTGAACAGGACAGTTCGCCATTTCTGCACATTCCAGTCAATATGAGATGTAGCAAACAGGAGTCTTTTCTTCTGGTTCTTTGTGAAATCAGCGGTTTCTTTGCAGGGCGTCAAGAAAACAATCCGGCTTCAACAGCACGTCGTCTGATTGTTCGGTATGATACAGACAGCTCTAATTGCTTTTATATCTCATGCATTAAAAATGAAACGAACTATACTATCACAGAAAACAGTTCAAGAGTCTGGAGTCATAGCATGCCATGACATATATATATATATATATATATATATATATATATATATATATATATATATATATATATATATATATATATATATATATATATATATATATATATATATATATATATATATATATATATATATATGTATATATATATATATATATATTGATGCAAAACACTACTTTTACATCGACTAAGGGTTTGGCATGGGGCAGCAATCTTTTCTTTCATTATTCTTTATTCTTTTTCTAAAAAATCTCTATGCAATAAAGGTAAACAAAACTAGAAAGCATTTGCTTATCTTTATTTGCTATAGTCAGACGCAATTTTAGGGGGGGGGGGGGGTTCCACCCCACTAAAGAAGGGGATTTTATAGTTATAGCCAGTTTTTTTACAAATTATGTTAATTATGCACTTATAACTAGTTTGTAAATGACAATTAGCCTAAATATCATCAGTACTCTGTAATTTAAATATTATCAAGTACTGATGATGCAAAACAGCATGCTTATGAGTTTCTAATTGATAATAATAACAATGATAAAATTATATTCAAAAAAATGTTTAAATGATAAAATAATTTAAAAAATATTAAATACAATTATTTTTCAAACAATTTTATAATATACAATAAAATGATAAAATCAAATTATTTGAAATGAGATGAATAAAAAAGGACAGGACAAAAGCTGTTTTATGTAGATAGTTTTACTGTATGTTGGAAATGTAGAAAAGTTGTTGTGATCAATTAAGTTAAATTCAACTCAGGTTTTGATTGATGAAAACAAAATGTAACTTAAAAGGCTCAGTACAAACGTAAATAAAAACTTTGTAGAGTTCTAATAAAACAAAAATAAAATAAGGATTTTAATACTTAAAAATTAACTTTGCTCTTGTAAGAAATTAAATAAAATATTTATGAAAAAAGTAATTTTTGACTAGATAATTCACCAAAACCATTGATTTCTATGTAATTTTCAAAAACATTTACAATTGCAAAAGCATTTTTATTAACTTCTCTTTCAACTACTCCTGGTAATGTTACAAAATATATGCTCGATTGTTGATCATGGTAAAACTCTCCATCATGAAAGTGACCAGCAAAGCATGCTACAACACACTTGTACGAATAAATGGTTGATAAAATCTCATTAAAGTTCCAACAAACTGTATTTTCTGTTGATGCTTTTGGGTGCAAAGGAATATGACTTAATAAAATTACTTTTTGTTTATTATTTGAAGCATCGATGAGCTCATCATGGAGCCATAGAAGTTGTTTCTCACTTATAGCTCCATTCCATGAAACATATTGTGGAGAACAAGGATAAGGCTCTGCTTTTTCATCATTTTTATTATATTCTTTTAAAAAACTAGTAGCTAATTTCCATTCATCTGTATGAGAAGCTCTACCACAAGTGGATATATCATAGGTATCTAACGCAATAATACGAAATGTTTTAAATGTAAATGAATAATAATAATCATAATTGTGAAAACTAGCATTATGTTCTGAATATAAGTTACATGATTTTATAAAACTGTTTAAAGAACTTTTCCAAAGCATTTCTCTTGAAAAATTGTAAAAGTCGTGATTTCCCCAAACATGACAAATATATGGAACAACTTTTGATGGATCCTTCTCACTTACGTAAGTACCTTCTTGCTTAGATACAGGCAATCCACAAGAGTCAAACTTAATTAATGTGTTGTTAATATTTTCAAAATCTATTTGGCTTTTTTTATAAAAATTACTAAAACCATCCAACAAATCTCCAAGTTGAACAACAAATTCAACTTTAGAGTCGTTCCATGTACTAATAGCATCCTTGAGATGGTTTATTGCATTTCGATAATACCTAAGATTCGTTTTGGTATAGTTGTATCGATTATCCACATCTGCATACTGAACATCTGCAATAATACCAAATGAAAATAACTGCTCTGCTTTCGCCATTGTGAACTGACGAAAAAATATTCAAATGATCAAAATGCATTTAAGTAAAATAAATTTGGTTGTTTACGAATACTACACCGGACCAAACCGGACCAAACCGGAGTATAGCGGTAGCATTTCGTTAAAGCAAAAAGTTTAAAAGCGAATTTCCTATTCTTTTTTTTTTTCAACAAAACAGTCTGGTTTGTATCTTTACACTAAATTAACTTTTAATTAATAGTTTAATTTAATGTTTTCAAATTACAACCATATTAGATCTGTTGTCATAGCCTTAACCTCTGCAGTTGTTTAGGTCTAGCCTAGAAGACTTTAAATTTTAAATTAGAAAGTTAGAATGAGCTTCACCAATCAATTCTTTCAGGGGCGGGTTTAGTTTTTTAAAGAGGTTAGTCAAAAAATTTGGTTGTAGATTTCACCACCCCCTCCCTACGGAAGAATAACCCGCGGGGTGGGGGGGGATGAAGGTAAAATACAAAAAAAAAGCACCTACCCCATTTGTTTAATAAATAAGTTATTTGCGAAAGCCTTCAAAAAAGCGGCCTAAATGGTGTTGCATATTTAAAAAATAGACGCAACACACTTAGTAAAAACAAACTACTATAATAGCTACATATTATTAAATTACAATATTAAAATATTAAAACATTTTTTTCTAGGTACGCAGTTTTTTAACTTACAAAGTACCAAGTGAAAAGTACTCTCTGTTTTTTACAAGTTATTATACGATCAAATAATGCTTTGCACTGAAAGATATAGTTAAAGATATCATACTATGAGAAATGTAATAACACAATAGCAATAATAATATGGTAACTAACCATAAAAACCCATTTTTTTATTTTATTCCATTGATAGATATGTTATTAAACAATTGTAATATTAATGTTAGTAAACAAAGTTATGCTTACGTTTGACTAATGATCAATAAAGTAAACTTCAAATAATGAAAGCTTACTAAATTAAAACCATATTTCAACTCAAATAACCAGACAAGGTAGAATCTCAAGGTAGAGCTGAAAAAAAGGAGAAAAGGTATATAATAGACAATGTATATAATGCTCCTAATTAAAATATCAAAGATACTGTACATAACGGTACCAGTTTCGATTAACAATTGACAGGTAAAACTAAAGATAAATAGAGAAAAAAAGAATACAATAAAAATTAGACATGTTTGAATTTATAAAGATATTAAAACTTCATGAAAAAAATAAAATAACAACTAAAATAAAATAAATAGTCCTTTTAAATAAATAAAACTATAAAAAATAAAATAATTATATTTTTTATTTAAAAATTGTTAAATTACACAAACTTTCTATTTGAAGAAGATCTTAAAGATACTGAATAAAGGTTTGTATATACAGTGTATATACAAACCTTTATTCAGTATCTAATTCACAATGTAAAAAACCTATAAATTCTTCCCTAACATCATAAGAATAATTCTTTCCTAACATCATACGAATAAGTCTATAAATCTAATTACTAAAGACAATTGTTCCTGATTGGAGTAGTCAGATGCTTCATCAGCAATAAATGAAAAAAATTTCTTTTATTTCAGAAACCAAAATATTCTGGGTGTACTTTCCACAACAACTTATTAATTCATTCTGTGACTTAGAAATATATGATGCACTCTTTGCACAGCTGTTAAGAAGTGTGTATATGCAGTGTGTAAAGACTTCACACACTGCATATATACTGGATATATCCAGTATAGCTTTCTTGGACTTTCTTCACAAACTGCATATCTAGTATAGCTTTCTTGAACAATAACTGTTGCTTTATTTTCTTCATGAACATAGGGGATGGTTAGAGAAGTTTAGCCTTTGTGACTATGGTCTGGAGTGCAATTCATTAGAGCTTAAAAATACTTTCTACACTTTCCCTTGTTCACAATAGCTTCTTTTACATACAAAGCTAAGAGGTTACTAACATAGTTTTGAATATTAACATTTAGCATTTGTGAACGTTTTTCTCCACCTTTAATTTGCGTAAATGCAAATGCTTCATCAAAGTTGGATCATAATTTACCAAGTTATTAGAAAAGACCAAGGAAGTTCCCATTATTTTTGGTGTACAGCTTTGATGAGCTTTTGCGGAATGCAATACTATGACGGTCATAATCACTGACACTATTTTCCTTAGAATGCTTCTGTGCAAAAAATCTGTTGTAATTGTAAAATTATCTGTTTTAACTATTATAGGTTTTAAATTACATTCAGGCTCTTTGTTTTTCTTTAATACTTCCTGAGACTTTCGGCTGTCCAAAGATAAAGTTGACAAACATGTGGCAAAACTAGCTGAAGAAGTTGAACTACACAACAGAGGTTTACTCACATTATCTTTCCTTGGTTAGATTGAGGTCTCACTGGATGTTTTTAAGGAGTTTTTATTGCACAAAATTTTTGATTCATAAGGTTATGAAGAACTTGGAGAATGAAAATAATGTGTTAGTTTTGGCACTTTACTTAAAACAGCTTCATGGGGTGCTTTAGAGCCCTTAGCTAATATTATGCTCTGAGGACCTGACAGGCTTTAACATTTTCAATAAAAAAATATTCAAGTTCAAGTTAACAGTGTAAAACTTTATTTTCGTTTGAAATATAAATAACGACTTAAAAATTAAAATTTAAAAACATGTTACCTTCTAATGAAGTGTAAGGAGTTATGGCTTTGCTACTGATGACTGCTGAATGACTTTTGTCACTCCGCAGCACTTTTTCCAATCTTCTAAAGTCCAGCCTTGATAATCAGTTGCAAAATTAAGCCTTTGTTGACAATGTAAGACTGTAAGAAATGGCTTTTTTACAGCTACACAAGCTCGAAGCCTTACTTTTTGTAGCATATTGCGGGCAGTTCTATCAGTAATATTTACATCATGATGATCAAACATCAAAACCTGCCAAAGGTGGTTCTCCAAACTGAGGCACACAATGGCCGGATCCTTTCGAAGTGCAGTCTTCTTGGGCCGTCCATTTTTAGACCTATCTTTTACTTCCCCTTTTTTTCTATACTTCATCATTATTCTTGTCACTAAGACAAGAATAATGGTGAAGTATTTTTTTGAAATCTTTATCTCTGGTGCAACTTTCCTGTGACATTTGTGACACTCAGTAACTTTAGCTAAAATCATCATTTGCTCCTGACAAAACAGTTTCTTATTTCCAGGCATACTTGCATAATTAGCTAATGAATTTATTAATTTTTAGTAAGTAGATCTATAAGGAAATACAAGAATAGTTTAAGACAGTATTAAAACAGCACATAAGTAGAAATAGCAAGTAAAATTATTAATCAAAACACACGTGTATATATAGTCGATTTCCTTGTAAATTGCATAAAACATCTTATAAGACAGGAGAACTTAATGAAACAGTGACTATTTAAATACAGATGCAAAGATACTGTTTTAAATATAGATTCTAAGAAGCAACAATCCGTCACCTAAATTTAAAAAGGGTTATTCTAGTATATTTTAAATTTAAAATTTTTTGGGCGAACTAAAAACGTAGCAATGTTTTAATAGGTCAAAATAAAGATTATTTAACAAAATCTATGACTGTTTTGTTCGAGCATAAAAAGTAGTAGTTGACTGATACTTTCTTGTTTTGACCTGTTTTCATTTCAAATCATATTTAAAAATTCATTCAATTGAATGTTTTTTGGCTTATCGATTATCGATTCAATAAACGATAATCGGATATAGATTTTCCTATGACTCAAATACTTACTGGATGGCAAGCTAGTAAGTTTTTCCAGAATTACAAGAAGAAAATAAAAAAATAACTAAGTGAAAGGATCAAAATCAGGCATTTAATAACTTTACAGCTACTTTTAAATGTATTTTTGATGTCTGTCCAATAATAACATCTGATACTGTCTGTCCAATAATAACATCTGAAATAAAAAATTAGAGTTAAAAATCCATGGATGACGAGTAATCTTATTTAATCGTCTAAATGAAAGCAAAAACTTTATATAAAATTTTTGAAATCAAAGGATGAAGGTGATGAAAAAACATACAAAATCTATAAACAGTATTTTCAAAAAAATATTAGACAAGCTAAAATAATGTATTATTTTAATCTGCTAAATAAAAATAAATTAGACATGAAAAAAAATATGGTCAATTATAATCGAAGTAACTAGTAGAGAAAAAAATAAATCCTTTAGCATACCTCAAAAAACATTTTGTGATAATAAATACATTACAAATAAATCAGATATTTATCATGAACTTAACAAACACTTTGTAAATCTTGGTCCCAGTCTAGCTTCAAAAATTGTGATGTCAAATAAGAAATTTGATGAATTTGTTGGAGAGAAACCGTTATCGTGTATATTAAATGAAAAAATATCCTATAAAGAATTTAACAAAGCTCCGACTGAACTAAAGCGAAATAAGTCAAGCGGATATGATGACATTACCAGCAATGTAGCAATACACGTCATTGAATTTATTAGAAAACCATTTTTTCATCTAATATCATCTTCTTTTGAACACAGTACTTTTCCTGATATGTCAATTTTTAAGTCGTTGTTTATCTTACCTAGTAAATAATATTTTAGTTTCAATTCTTCCATTAATAACAATTTAATGGAATTTACACGCAGTCTTATTTCAAAACGTTATAAAATCCAAATAAAATATTTAGAAAATATTTATCTCACTTTTTTTTGCATATTCAAAAATTGATTTTTCAATAGTCTTGGCTGAATCAACCAATGCAAAAGTATCTAACTGCATTTCAAGCTTGAATACAAAAAGAAAAGAATTGTTTAGGATCATGCAATAAGAGAATGATGATTAGTCTATTTTAAATTTGCTTATTATACAACAGCAGATACACACTTAATCCCTTTATTTGATTTTCATGCAATCTTATGACAAAATATCAAAATCAAAACGGGATGTTCTTTAAGTGCATGAACTATTTGAACGGAAAACTAAGAGGAGGTTCAAAAGGTAGAATTATGTTTTTACCATTCAGCAAATTATTGAAGAACTTCAGAAATAAATCGAGGCCAAAGAAAGGGTGGAAAAGGTAAAAAAGAAAAGAAAAATTATTCACGCTGAGCAAAAAAAAAATTAAC